CTGAATGATAGTGGTATTTACTGGACTTCCTTGTAAGCATATGGATATGATCCTGTCACTCACGATGTTGTACTTCAATGATGTCTTGAAGTACAACATCATTATATATAGTGACATTTAAATACAGGGAAAAAATTATTGTTGTTGGTAGATGCCACTGAGTCAATGTATTGAGGTACAACTCATAACAGCCCTATGAATGACCGATCTAAACCCTGCCCTTTCCTCTGAAATCATTTCTGACACATTTGAGCCCATGGCAGCATTCACTCTGTTAATCCAAATGCTTCAGCATCTTCCTCTCTTTCAATAACTCACCATATTTCCAAACATGATGTCCCTCTCCTAACAACATGCAAGGAATGTTGTTTTGTTGTTGTTACATGCCACAGAGTCACTCTGAAAGTTGGACAATAAATATGGATGATAGAAGAATAATTGATGCCGTTGTGCTGTGGTGTTGGAGAAGAGTACTGAATATACCATAGACTGCCGAAAGAACACACAAATATATCTTGGAGAAGGTGCAGCCAGAGTGCTCCTTGGAGGCAAGGATGACAAAGTCTCGTCTCACAGACTTTGAGCATGTTGTTTGGAGAGGCTAGAGCACCAGAGGAATGTCTTATCTGTCTTTCATTGACTATGTAAAGGCATTTGACTGTGTGGATTTACAACAAACTGTGACTGACTCTGAGAAGAAAGGGAATCCCAGAACTCTTCATTATCTTCATGTGAAACCTATACTTGGACTGAAGGCAGTTGTCAGAACAGAGCAAGGAAACATTGCATGATTTAAAAGTGGGAAGGGTATACGCCAGGGATGTGTCCCATCTCCATACCTTTTCAAACTGTATACAGAACAGTTCATCCAGGAGGCTGGGCTCTATGAGGAGGAATGTAGCATCAGGATTAGAGGAAGACTCATCAACAACCTGCTTTATGCAAATGACACAACATCACTTGTTGAAATGGAGGAGGACCTGAAGCACTTGCTGCAGAAGGTCAAGGACAGCAGCCTTCAATATGGGTTGAAGCTCTATATAAAGAAAACAAAGATTCTTACCACTGGGATTGGGAGCATCATGATAAATGGTGAAGAGACTGAAATTGTTTTCACCTTTAGTTTGCCTAGCTCCACAATCAACACTCTTGGTACCAGCATCCAGGAAATCAAAAGACAAATTACATGGGGGAAGTCTGCTATGAGGGAAATTACTGAAGAGCAATGATGTCAGTTTGGAGACTAAGGTACATCTGATCCAGGCCATTGTCTTTTACTTCCTATGCATCAGAAAGCTGGACAGTGACTAGGGATAATAGAAGGAGAATTGATGCCTTTGAGCTGTGATGCTGGAGAAGAGTATTAAATATAGCATGGGGTGCTAGGAGAACAAATAGCCCTCCTGGAGAGGGTGAAACCAGGCTGCTCCTTGGAGGCAAGGATTCTGAAGCTTCATCTGACATACTTTGGGCATGTTGCAAGGAGGGACCAGTCCT